TCCTTGGTTGATCTCTTTCCACCCCCTCCCCACCCGCCTTTCCTCTGGGATTTGTCATTCTTTTTCATGTTTCCATGCCTCTAATTCTATTTTCTTCATCAGTTTATTGTGTTTATTAGATTTCTTATTTGTTTATTTTGATTTTTAGAATCAATTGTTGATAGATAGGTATTTATTGCTATTTTATTGTTCATATTTTTTACCTTTTTTCTCCTTCTTCTCCTTCTTCTTTTTCTTTTTCTTCTTCTTAAAGACTACCCTTCAACATTTCATGTAACTGGTTTGGTGGTGATGAACTCCTTTAGCTTTTTCTTGTCTGTGAAGCTCTTTATCTGACCTTCAATTCTGAATGAGAGCTTTGCTGGGTAGACAGCAGCAGTCGCCAACCGGTGGTCCATGGACCACTGGTGGTGGTCTGTGAGGTCCAAAAGGTTGGCAACCACTGGGTTAGAGTAATCTTGGTTGTAGGTCCTTGTTATTCATCCCTTTGACTATTTCTTGCCACTCCCTTCTGGCCTGCAAAGTTTCTGTTGAGAAATCAGTTCACAGCTGTATGGGTGAAATCAAACCCAGCCTTGTAGGTAACTAACTGCTTTTTCCTTGCTGCTTTTAAGATTCTCTTTTTGTCTTTAACCCTTGGCATTTTAATTATGATGTGTCTTGGTGTGGGCCTCTTTGGGTTCCTCTTGTTTGGGACTCTCTGCACTTCGTGGACTTGTAACTCTATTTCTTCACCAGGTAGGGGAAGTTTTCTGTCATTATTTCTTCAAATAGGTTTTCAATATCTTGCTCTTTCTCTTCTCCTTCTGGCACCTCCATAATGCAAGTGTTGGTACGTTTGAAGTTATTCAAGAGGCTCCTTACACTATCTGCATATTTGTTGATTCTTTTTTCTTTTTGCTCTTCTAATTGGGTGTTTTTTGCTTCCTCATATTCCAAATTGTTGATTTGATTCTTGGAATCCTCAACTCTACTGTTGAATCCCTGTAAATTATTCTTTATTTCAGTTAGTGTATGCTTAATTTCTAACTGGTCCTTTTTCATGTCTTTGACATTCTCACTAAGATCCTTGAAAGGTCTTACTAAGTCCCTTGAAGCTCTCATTAAGATCCTTGATTAACCTTATAACCATGGTTTTGAACTCTGTATCCATTAGTTTGCTGGCTTCCATTTCTTTCCTTTGTGACATGTTTCTTTGTCTCTGCATTTTAGCTGCTTCCCTCTGTTTGTTTCTATGTATTAGGTAGAGTTGTTATATCTCTTGGAATTGTAGAGGGCCTTGTTTAGTAGGTGTCCTGTAGGGTCCAGTGGCTCAGCCTCCCCAGTCACTTGAGCTGGGCCCTCTAGGTGAGCCCCTATGTGGGCTGTGTGCACAGTGTTGTAGTTGAGCCTTGATTGCTGTTGGCATCACTGTGAGGAATTGACCTCCAGGCCAATTGGCTGTGAGGACCATCTGAGACTACAGTGGAAGAGCAGCTGTGCAGTAGACACCCCTATGGAGCAGGACTTACTTTAGTGGGGCTTTGGTGCTCACTGAGTCTGCCCCTTGAGTGTGTTGTTTGTGGATGTGTAGAGTTGTAATCTGGTATGTTCTGAAGCTGTCCACTGGGTGCACTGGCTCTGGGGCCTCCTGGAAGGTGCAAAGTCAGTCATTGCCTGAGGCCACCCTGTAGGAGTTATAGAGAGGTCTGCAGATGGCTGCTACTTGTATTGGGCTTGTGAAGTGCCCAGGCAAGGCCAACTTGTGAAGCAAGGCAAGCTGGTGCTAGTGCCAGATCTTGGGCCTTTTATTGATAGATTTGGGGCATGCTGATACCAGCTGCTGCTTGTTTGAGAGATTTTAGCAAAGTTTGAAGCCTGAGCCAGACAGGCCATTTATATAGAAAAGCAGCTGCAAACAGTTTGGGTAGGGCTAAAAAATGGATGGGGCGGCGTCTCAGGGAATCACCATGCTGAGCAAACAGTATGAACCAGCCTGATGGAAACTCAGATATGGCTGCCAGTCAGCTCTGAAAGGGGGAGGTCCCAGCACAGAAACAATGACCCCTTGAGCACTCCCATCTGGGAGAAAGCCACCCCAAGTTCCTGCTTGATGCCAGACAATCCAGTTCCTCCCTGTATATCCCTGGGTCTCCCAAAGCCTCCCCTCCTCACTGGAGCTCAGAGGAAGTGGGACCATGTACGTTTGTGCACCAGCCTTTTAAGAGGAACTGATGGGTCTCCAGCAACCTTTGTGTTATTCAGCCACAAACCCCACGGGTGTTTAAAACCCAAAGTTACGGGGAATTCTCTTCCCAGCTCTGGAACCCTGGGCTGGGGGGGCTGGTGTGGGGCTAAGACCCCTTGCTCCTCACAGGAGGCCTCTGCAGCCGAGATATCCCTCCCCATTGAAAAAAGGCCACACCTGGGTGTCAGACCACCCCGCTCCTCACCTCCACCCCTCCTACAGTCTCAATGTGCTTTCTGTAGTTCTCTAGCTGTAGAACTTCCACTCAGCCAGATTTCAGGTGGTTCTGAATGATGGTTGTTCTGTATTTTAGTTGTAATTTTGATGTGGTTGTGGGAGGTGGCAAGTATGGGTGTTTACCTATTTTGCCATCTTGGTTCTCCCAAGATGTACTTCTGGTTTAAGTTCAAGGTCACTGTGTCAAAATACTCTAATGCTGCCAGAGGGCGTTTAGAGCAGTCGGGACCAGAGGGCCTTGTGCTCAGAGCTCTATCACCCCCTAGAGTCTGAGAAAGACACTAATGTCTGTGCCAACTTTCTTTATCCACATTCTTTCTTATTGTTTTTAGGAAGGAAGAGAGAGAAACATTGGTTGGTTGCCTCTCCCACATGTCCCAACTGGGGATCAAACCTATACCTGGGTATGTGCCCTGACCTGGAATCAAACCTGCCACCTTTTGGTGCACAGGATGATGCTCCAACCCACTGAGCAACACCAGCCAGGGTTTTAAAAAATGTATTGATTTGAGAGAGAGAGGAAGGAGGAGAGTGAGAGAGAATCATTCTTTGGTTGATTCTTGTATGTACCCTGACTGGGGATCAAACCCACAACCTTGGCATATTGGGCGATGGTCTAACCAACTGTTACCTGGCCAAGGCTCCTTTTCCACATTCTTGACCCTCTACAACTTGTAAGAGTGTGTGGGTTCCCAAGGTGCTTACAGGAAAGTGCAGGTCATGCCTCATGGCAGCTGGCCCAGCGGCCATCGTGGGTGCTGTCCGTTCTGGCGCTCACAGTCCCGTACTGATGACCTCAGAGGTCTCCTTCTCAGGTTTTTGGGCTCAAGGGAAAGGGATATCGAAAGCAGGGGGCTCCCTAGGAAAGGGAGGGGACCCTGACACTGCTGGGTGCTGCTCTACCCAGTGCTCTGCACATCAATCCTCTCAAAGAAGGTGGGAAGTGACAGATGGGTAGATGTGCTCAAGTCACCAGGTGTCCTGGGCCCCAGGTCCCACGAACGCCCTCCACGACTCTGGAAAGAAGATTTGAGGCCATGATGTGGGAGGCCCTTCTGTGTTTTCACAGATCACAGCTCTGAGTGGGGCTGTTGGGCTGCATCTTTCTCTCAGGCTTCCTGGCCCTACCGGCCCCAGAGCCAGAGCCTGGTCTTGCCATCGTCACCCGCACGTTCCCCTCCTGAGTGCGCGGCTGCCGGTGAGCTTCCCCTCCACCTTGTCCAGCCCAATACTCACCCCGCGCCAGCACGGCGGTTGGGAGTGGCCTGACTCAGTTTAGAGGGGAGTGCTGAGCCCACACTACCCATGTGCTCTGGGAACGCCTGTGGACGAAAGGGGCCACCTGCTGACCTGACAGCTCAGGGGAGGCCTGCATGGCGGTCTTGCAAACTCAGAGACCTAAAGTCACCACAAAGGATAGTCTGAAATTAAACTTTAACTAAAACAGTGGTTCCCAAACTTATTTGGCCTACCGCCCCCTTTCCAGAAAAAATATTACTCAGCGCCCCCTGGAAATTAATTTTTTTTAAATTTTAATAGCAATTAAACAGAAAGATATATGTATTAATGTTTCTACCTTTTTCGTAAAATATAGTAAAGAAAGGTGTAAATTAGAAACATTGAAGTTTGAAATTATGAAACTATTTATTAAACTCAGAATAGAAAGGTAATACAAAAAAAGTTAAAACAAATGCACCTGTGGCCATCACCGCCCCCCTGGATCGCTGCAGCTCCCACCAGGGGGCGGTAGCGCCCACTTTGGGAATCACTGAACTAAAAGCAGTTATGGTGGGTAGTCACCTCCTAGGCCAGTATCTTCACTGACAAGGTCAACCTTTACCTAACTGAACCTATCTGTCTTTTTGCATCTATGATAACATTCCCTTGAAATGTCTGGGTAACTTGTAACTTCCCTTTTTCTGGACCCCTTGGGGCACAACCTGATAAGCCCGGATGCCAGGACAGAGACCACAAATCCCTTCGTTATCATGTTAATTGTTGACTGTTGGCTATCCTGCGCCCATCTAAATATGTGCCTATCATTTTACTTTTTGTCCAATCCCAGAGGTTTCCCCGCTTTGCTTTCTCCGGCCTCTCTAATCTCTTACCAGTGGATTTCATGTAACCCACCTCCGTCCCTCCTTTGATTGCAATGTATAAATACAGATGTAACCCGCCATTCCCCGGAGCATTATCCCAATCCATTGAGGTTCTGCTTCCGGGCAATTGTCGACAGTTTGTCTCAAATAAACTCACAAAAATTCTTTGCAGGTTTGAATGTTTTGGTTTTTTTTACGTTAACATGCTCAACCCAAGAAACGAACAAAAATGGGTCCAGGCCACTGATCCAGGCCACAAACTGGGAGAAGGTCCTTACAATGCACACACACAGCAAAGGAACAGATAACAGGTTACACACACACACACACACGCACACACACGCGCACATGTGTGCCCACATATACATCAATAAGAAAAGATTCAGAAGCAATGGGCAAAGAATATGAATAAGCAGTTTACAGCAGAGCAAACCCAAATGGATGGTGTGCAATGGACAGATGTTGAGCAGCTGGATGCAAATCTGCTGTGGGTGCACCTGCGAGTACCCCTTGGAGAGCCCCTGCTGCACCCAGAGGACTTGGAGGTGAGCTCGGGCTTCGCCCAGCAGTTTCACTCAGACCCCACAGGGGAGGGTCTGGCCCCTGGCAGCATTCAGAAATTTGAGGGTGTTGCTATAGAGGCAGGCCTTTCGTGGGCGGGGCCAGGGACACGTGATGCCCTGCAGCACGCAATGCAGAGCTGTCCTACAATTTCACCCACAAACAGAGTATTCTTTACTTGGTTTTAGTTTACACTAAATTTTTCTAGGATGGGAACTTTCTGCACTCTTAGCCCAATCTTGCTATGAACCTAAAACTGCTCTAGAAAATAAAGTCTGTATTTCTTAAGCTTTCCCATTTGAAAATAAGGGAAGAGACTTCCCCTTCTTTTTCTTCCAGAATCTCTCTGCCCTTTTCACCTGTACGTTGCCCTGTGTCCCATGGTTTCTGAGTTGCCTAGCATGGAATTTCCTGCCGGGTGTGTTTGCTCTTCCTCAACTGCCTATAAATCGCCCACTCTCACTTCTGAGGTCTGTCACCCCATTTCCCCTCCCCCTTTCTTCTAATTTGTCCAAAACTGTCTTCTATACCCAATATTGCCTCACTATCTTTGGAATTTCCATGCCTATGTGAATTTCCCATGTGCATGTATTAAAACATTGATTTTCTCCTGTTAATCTGTCTGTTAATTTGATTAGTAGTCCAACCTAGAAGAATTTAGAAGGTGGGAAGAGAAGTACTTTTTAAAATATATTTTTATTGATTTCAGAGAGGAAGGGAGAGGGAGAGAGAGATAGAAACATCAATGATGAGAGAGAATCATTGATCGGCTGCCTTCTACACATCCCCTACTGGGGATCAAGACTGCAACCCGGGCATGTGCCCTTGACCAGAATCGAACCTGGGACCTTTTAGTTTGAGGGCTGACTCGATCCACTGAGCCAAACTGGCTAGGGCAGGAGAAGTATTCTTTTAAATGTACCTTTATTATTGAAATTATTACAGATGTCCCCTTCACCCCCCGCCCCATTGACCCCTTCCACCCCGCACCAGTTCACCCCCCAAAGCCTTCACCCTATTGTCTGTGTCCATGGGTTGAGCATATATGCAGACAAATTCTTTGGTTAATCTCTCTCACCCACCCCCGTCAGTCTGTTCCATGCTTCTGTGTCTCTGGATCTATTTTGTTCATTAGATTCCACATGTGAGTGAGACCATGTGACGCTTGTCTTTCTCTGACTGGCTTGTTTCACTTAGCGTGATGCTCTCCAGGCAGGGAGCAGTATTAACATTCCTTTCAGTGCCCACTGCTGTGCCCCAGGAACTGCATGCCCTCATTTCCCTGGCCCTAAGTGTTTCATCTGGGAAATGGTGATAAAAATACACTTTCCTGACAGCAGCTCAGCC